ATACACGCTGTTTAGCGATACACGTTATGGATAACCTTGTTAATCCGTCTGCTCAAAGTAGTTCAGGAATCGTACACCCAACATCTTAAAATTAGCTCAGGTAGGTTAAATGTGAGGGTTGAAGGGGGTGGGGTAACATTGTCAAATTATACAGAGGTGTAAGCAGTGTTTGCATTGTTACATAATATAGCAACGCCGGGGTTTATTATTCTGGCATTAAAACGTTGACAATATATGTATTATTATGTGGATCAACTAGCCAGAGATAAACAGTATTATTGGCTTTACTTTTGTGGTTTATTTTTAAAAAGTAAACTTAAAACAAACGGCATGATAGTTATATTTCTGATAAAATTTTAAATGAAAAAAAAATATAATATATTTTCTAATACAAGTTTTTTTTTTCTTTGACGTATAGTTTGGTCATAAAAAATGTAATCAAACACGGCTTAAAAATTGAATCAGTAATCAGTTCGACATTTTTGTTTACATTGTGCTGTGTCACGTAACACATAGAGTTAAGAGAAAATATCATTAGTGTAAAAAAAAAAGTACGACCAAAAGTAAGGAAAAAATATACACGGTTTGGTGTGGAGGGGGGGGGGGGAGGTGGTGCTAATGAGGAAATGAGAAAACCGTGATGGAATTAGTTCACACCTGTGGGGGTAATCAAGGTGAACTGAGTTGAACATCCCTGGGGGATCTGGGGGGGGGGGGGGGCGTTAGACGAAAATCACTTGAGATTCACTGTGATGCAGCTTGCTTGTTCGATATGTACACATCTTACTGGTCAATGATTCAAGATTTTGGTTCTTCTAAGCATTCGAAGATCGATGTTTAAGTCCCAGTTGATACAACAATAAATGAATTCGATCCTTGGTTTTGAACCCCAATGTATAAATAGGCCCTACCTATACGGTCGGAATGCGATATATTATTTCCCCCAACATTTATTTTATTTTTTAAGTGCATCCTTACATATCTGCCCCTCCCATTCCTATCCCCTTGCTCAGGGGGTCGGGGGTTACGTATAATACTTAACATGAAAACGTACCCGGAGACCAAATTGCTTTTCATTTCAGGTTTTTCAAAACAAAAAGATCTCTCTCCTCGAGCTAGTTTTATTTTTAGATTTAATCTGCAGCCGTTTTAGTGGCGTAACGTCAAGGTGGAACAAATGATTTCATTATTATTGGGGAGGGGGGGGGGGGGGGGAGGAGAATAAGCGAGGGCCAAAAATTGTGTGTGGACCATTGTGGAAAAGGTAGACAACCCGTTTTTATTGGATGGGTGGCAGAGATTAGAAATTCAGATAATAGAGCTAAGAAAAACGTAATTTAAAACATAAGAATAGAGTTGATTTAACGAGCAAAATGAGGATCATATTTTAAATCGAGAAGCCGTTTCTCAAGCTTTGATATGTTTCATTATCTTTTCCCTTTCGTGCCCAGGGCATATAGAGCCGATGAAGTAGAGTTAATCTATTTCATTGACCTCGGCATACATGTAGTGGGGGTCAGCATTATGCACAGCCGTCTTTGTTTCACTAACGTAAGTCAGGTACTTTTTTGAGCTGAGTGGACTCAATATCGTCTTACAGACTCAAACCCGGGATTTGAATTCGAGACTTTCGCGTAAGCAGGTCGAGAGCTCTACCATCAGAACCACGGTGTTCCCTAGGAGATATTTTTACACGACTCAGCTTATCTCAATGCATGCCCGAGTATCAGAAGAACATAAATACTGCATGTAATAAGCATCACATACATTTTTTCTACCATACATACTTTGTATACAAAAACTTGCATATAACCACAGGTTATAACGTGTGTGAGAGTGAAGGAGTCTAGTATCCATATCCACACATTTCGATAATCTATTTTCACATATAACCCACACTTCAACCAGAGGCGCCCAGGGACGAACTTTCTAATTTGCACCCCCCCCCCCCCCCTCAAGCTTTCGATTTGCACCCCCTCTCAACCTTTCAATTTATTTTTCCAACCCATTTTGGAGCCCCTAAGGTCGGCGCCCGGGGACATGTGTCCCACCCCCGCCCCCCCCCCCCCCCCCCCACGCCTCTGCTTTTAACCCTAAATCCTAATCACCCCTTAATCCTAGGGCTAACCCCTGAATGTAATCCAAGGTCTACCTCCAACAATAGAGATAATGTGTGACATTCGGAGATATCAGTTTATTTATATTGGTTGGCATTTAACATAACATTTACGTCTAACACGTATGCAAGCCACACAGATGAAACGCATTTTACATAAATAAATTTTAAAAAAAAAACGTATATGTTGACGAAAAAGCAGTATTCGTGTAGGATACAATTAATGAAGTATTCCAGTTACAATCCCTAATCCTAATCGATATACTAAACCACGTAAAGCCCGCATATAAATACAAACAATCCTGCAATAAAAAATGAACATGCAACCAGTTTATCCGATGTTACAACATTCACACACTTTAAAAAGAGAAACCTACCTTAAAATGAGCAGTAACAGATTGTTTTTTTTTCCTTGGGTGTGTTCAGTCAATAAAAACGTTAGCAACAGTTTATCTTCCAACAGCGCTTGCCGGGCTGTTTATAAAGAAGTCACTTTTGAATATAACTATGCACATTCAACATGTGCTAATTTGTTTAGGTATCCGATATAAAGCACAGAACATAAACTGTTATTGAGCATCCAATGATGAGTTCAGCTTATGTAATCATTGATCAATTAGTCTGAAGATCAACGCACCTTTTTAAAAAAAAAAATTGTCCAGAATGGGAAGCAACTCCGGCTTGTAAACAAGAGTTCACGCCCTTGGTGTAGCGTGGTCTACTCGGTCATATCCCCTGGGTGCAAGCTAGACAGGAGCTGGATTAAAAACCATTGAGGCGTGACGGGTTTTGGTGAAAACTGCGTGTCAACACTCCAAGAATCGTCCTTGACCTTTAAATAAAATAACGAAAGAAAACAAAAATCCGGTTAGTGTTGGATTGATAAATCTGACAGCCGGATAGTTGGCTCATCTGTAGGAAAACCAGTTATTTTATTTGGCATGTGGGAGTCACAATGTATCTGGCAGGTTATATTCTAATTCGGCCGGGTCAATTCTCATCAACTAACTCTAGATCAAGGTTATCGCGTACCCTAACATGTACGACTGTTGCCTTATAAAAAAATAAATAAAATAAAACAGTTAATAATATTGGAAGTGGGAGGGGGGAGGTGCTGCCACACCGAGGGTCCGCCAATGTACCAAACTGTGTACCCGTCTGACGCTGTTCAAAGTGTAACCGAATGTCTATAAATAGAAACAGTGTTTGGTTAAACACCGCGCCTATGATGGCCTTGTTCGAGGGGGGTGACAGTTCTAAGGCCTCTAAGCCTAGCCGTGTGAGCCTAAAGCAGACAGGTAAGTTAACAGAAGTACATAATGTCGCCGACCTAGGACAATTTTTTTTACAGTATCAGGTTGCATAGTAAAATCAAGGGAGACCACTACAGTCACTTTTAGCTTTTCAATTATCACGTAAGAAGGTAAGATTTCACTTCGCCGGGATTAGCGCCCTTATAAAACCATAGCTCTATAATCTATATTATACTCTACGAGCCGACCCGCGGCGTATCATACGCCGCTATTTAGTTGTTTTATTTTCTAATTTTCAGTAATTCATAATTTGTGAATTCGACAGTACCAACGCTGCCACTTGAAAATATTTGCTTTAAAACACTATCAGTAGGTCGTTAAGGACGATAACCCCCCTTCTTTTCCCCAACCCCCCTACCAAATCGTTTCAAACTAAATTATCTGACCCTAATAGCCGTCACTAAACCCGGCTCTACGATTGTAAACATTTACCGTGAACCACAGCTCACCACACCATGGTGTTTCTATCGTCTCCAAGAAGAGAATTATATATGTAGATGATATCTTAATCGCAACAACACATTTTGTTCAGTTTCCAACGCACGTTAGTACTTAAACCCCACAAAACCGATATAAGTGAAACTTTTGATATGCTAAATAACGACAGGATGTAGCTAAATAACAAGCTAGAGTGAATTGTTACTTATATGAGAATCTTATAAAGTAAGTGTGTTTAGCATAACTGAGGTATCAGGGATCACCTCTTCTTTAATTCCTTTGATGCTCGAATGTTAGTAAACCACACGATTCGTAAATTTTCACAAGTTCCGCATGTTCATAAACCATTTTCCGTAGGCACAACTGTGACGTCACTGAATGCTCACCAACTCCACTTCAGCTGCTGTATTGCACAAACACCGAATTTTGAGCAAATGTCAATCCACCGAATGCACACTAAGGATTTAAAATGCATCAAATGTTGTGCAACCGTATCTTCACTAAATGCTCACCAAATATTTAACATGCATCAAATTTTGTGCAACAGTGTCTTCACTGAATGCTCACCAGCTCCAATCAAATGCCGTTGTATGCATTCACTGAATGCTAACTAACTCCAATCAAATGCCGCTGTATGCCTTCACGGTTGAACAAACTCACGACTCTACCCGGGCATTCACCCTTGACCTAGTTCACTGCCTTACCCATCGATCGCCTGCACCGAGCCACAGTTTACGTTGTATACACTCTTCAAGCCTCGTTACAAGTGGTTTAGCCGTACCCAGTGTAGCTAACATATACTATCACGAACTCGCATTACCTCCCTTTAATTAAACGGGAACGGAAAAAAATCTATAAAAATTGAAACTACTGGTTTATTGTTCAATTCTTTGTAACTTAAGATAGTAGAAAGAAAAAAACAACAACTGCAATTGATGGGACCTTGCAGCTCAAGGTTGCCTGTTGATAAAAAAACAAAACAACCACAAGCGATGGGACCTTGCAGCAAGGTTGCTTGCTGATAAAAAAAACAACCCCAATCAATGGGACCTTGCAGCAAGTTTGCCTGCTGATAAAAAACCAAAACAAAACAAGAAAACAAGCTCGCTCCCATTTCCAGACTCCGCCCCGCCCCTCGGATCGATGGCAACAAGAAACGGTTGAGTGGCGGTGGCCATGTTGCTGGTGACCTTGCCCTTCTCCCCGTTTGTCAACACGTTTGTATGTGCCATGTTGCGATACGCTACTATTTTTTTTTAAATTTGTGTATAAGCTGGTAAAAGCAATTCTATTGGTCTATTTTTTCATCAGTAAATTATTAAATTGCATGGTGATAACGACTAGGATTAGAATAAGGATTAGGACTAGGAGTTGTCTAAGTGTGGATCAGGAGCCTCTTGCAGCTCTGCAGCAAGTAATTGCGGCTCTTGTCATAGAATATACAGACTTGCCATAATACAAGAATGAAACAAATAACACTTGTTTCAGTGACCCTTCAACAAAATGCTTTTAAGTGCTGATCCGTTAACATATTCTAATAGAAGTAATGTACATGTACAGAATTACATGAGTCTGCAAAATAACTTCCAATGTGTATCCATTCATAAATCCTAGCATAAATAATGTACAAAAATAGCTAAACATCATCCTAAGCCCGGGTGAGAAGGGAGGGTTGGGCGAAACGGTAGCAACCCATTCCTGTAATAACAAAAACAAATTGGACAAAAAGGTAGCAACCTTTCCCCGTAAAAACAAAAACAAATTACTGCAGAAACAAAAATAAAATACAGAAGGGGCTTAAACTTTCTTAAAAATAAAAAATCGACGAGTGTTAAAAGTCTTCAGTACATAAGGATACAGGTTCTTTTCCGTTAAAGAGTCCAGTAACTCTCCTCTATAGTTCGCATATTATCCTAATTACGTCAGTGCGTGTTTAGTGAGGGAATACGCATGTACACAGTAGTCCGCACATTTAATGTGTTGGAGCCGTTCCCACGCCATTAGAGATTGACATCAATTTAGCACTAATCCCGCTTAACTAACCTAAAAAAAAATAGTTCGCTCATCTGTGGGTTTAACAAACGTAAATCGCAGACAGACTATGATCTATTTTTATCCTGCACGTACCTATTTCACCTTGCGCAATTATGATTTGTTACACCCCCTCCCCCTTCCCTCCCTACCTTTGGAATAAGCTTAAAGGTACCGGAAGGAAGAGTTTGTTTAGAATTTAGAAAATACTCTCGCACTTAAGATTTAAGTTAGTTATGAATATCACTCTGTTCGGTTCATTAACGCGCAACGTAGCAGATAAGCAACTGAAGGGTGTTTCTATTTGATAGCGTGACATTCAGTTTTTTTTTTTTTCAGAAAAAAAACCCCAAAAAACAACTACACACAAATAAATATTTTAAAAAAAAACATGATTAAACTTACGTATTAAAGAAAAAGGCAAAGAAGTCTTTAATGAAAAATCTAGGAATCTATAAACGTATGAATAAAAATCAACAGCAAAACCACAACAGGTTAATTAGTGCGGTCTGTCTTTAGAGGTAGATTCTATCACAAATACGGTTACCGGCTGTCTCGTATCTATTGAACTACATACGGTGCAATGGAAAGTTTTGCTACCCTGTAAAAACTACCGTACAGACAGCCGAGTGGTGTCAAGGGTTTTTAGACTGCCACCGACTGTTACGTACGTCCGCAGTAAGTTTGTGACAATAAATAAAGGCGTGATGTCACGTTTGGTTGTAACCAAAACACCACTTCGGATCTGTACACTAAAGCAGTACAGCCCTCTATGCTCAGTACTACCGCCGCTGTCTACAACAGGTAATACAACTATATATAGGCATATATATATATATATATATATATATATATATATATATATATATATATATATATATATATATATATATATATATATATATATATATATATATATATATATATATTGCATTGCCTATTAAACATATGAACAATCCCCATGTGCTAATGAAACAGCTCCATAAAGCCAGGCTTACAGCTTACTAGAGTTTAATTTACAACACTATGTCTATTGGTAAAGGGCACTAAAACTTCCGATACAGTGAACTACAGTAACCAGAGAAAGTCCACCTAAGACGGTCCTAAGACACAGCTATCTATAGAGTCCTTGCAAACACGTGACCTAAATCACGTGATACCTACGCCCGCCGCCACAGTGGTGTACATCAGACGTAAACACAATCAGCTGTTCGCCAGCGCTGGACGTGTTCACCAGCGCTGGACGTGTTCACCGTATGTAAAGAATCGCGACGGCGGAAAAGGAAAAATATGTTAAAAAACTTGAACTCTTAGGAATTGAAGATCCTTATACAGTTATTGACAGTTTCGTGGATAATATAAATATGTGGCCGAAATTTCTAAATAAAAATACTGTTAGTAATACCGTTTGCGTTTAGAGTTTAAGTAGACGAAGCTGATCAAATGCTGTAATATATTAGAGGTTATCTACTGTAGCAAACGTGAGACCACTTAACTCCTACAAAACCCACACTACAACGGCTAATATAATCCATGGGTAATAACCAATCTGGGTAGCATGTTATACAATTTAAGACCCTTATAATCCAGCAGGGAAGTAATCAGACACATTAATACTGACGTTCAACCCTCATGATGGCTGCCCCCACCTGTATCTAGCCCACAATAAAACCAAAGAGGAGTCTGCCCTGCCCTCCCCTGAAAATGTCTCACCTCCGTGATACCCAGCCCCACAGAGATAGTATTTCTTATATAATTTTGACCCTCAGGGCCCAGCAGGGAGAACAAAGGGGAAAGTCCCACTGCTCTCCCCTCAACACTTCTCACCTCGGTGTCATGTTATGTCATTTATAGCACACACGGCTTATCAGGGGAAAGCATTAAGGCATTAAGAATCTTAACTCTGGACAGCTACACACTAGTATACTAGCTACACACTAGGTGCCTACTGTAAACTACTAGACTGTAGGCCCTATGTAGACCTGCAATTGTATCAATTGTAGACTGGGTCCATTGTTATTATTCTAAACCATCTCACTTATAATGTTTC